AATTCTGTTTAATTTAACTTTTTCGGTGATTTGTCAGTTACACCCATATCACACAAACTCAAACTTATCAACCACTTTTAACTTATACCCGTTAAGATCGCCAAATCGGTTTAATAAAAACATTAACTCAAATTTATTTTCTTTTTTATCTTCTCTAATGTCTTCCCCAACGGGAAGCTATCCGTTACTAATTTAGTAACATGACTGAAGAGAGTCGTTAGGAAAGATGTTGGAGAAGAAGAAGTAAAAAATATTCTCGAATTAGTATTTTATTAAAAGGATTTAGGGAGCTTAACGGGTGTAAATTAAATGGTTAATGGGTTAGGCTTGTGCGAGAGGGGTGTAAATGGTAAATTACTGAAAAAGTTAAAATAAATAGATAATCCCCCCAATTTCAACCATATTTTAACGAGGGGACTTATTTCAACATACTAATAAGATGTGGAGGGCTTCAGATCATGTTCAAAGATTTGGCGGGCTAATACAAAATATTGAAGATTTGTGTGGGCCTAAGGGCAATCTCAAAGATTTGGAGGGGCTTGAGAGCAACTTAAAAGATTTGGGGTGCTAATATCAAAATATTGAAAATGTGGGGGGCTAATACTAATTTAACCCAATTTTGTATTATGACGAGCTCTAACAACGAAGAGATGCTCTTGGTGCGAGAACTTTCTCCATGAGTTAGTTGAGAGTGGCTTTCAATGACAGTCAGTGGTACTGGCATCAGATTTTTTGTGGTTGGCGCCATGAGGCCACTTGCAACTTGCAAGGATCACATGGATTGTTTGCCTCATAAATTACGGGTGTTAATTGTTAGACCTTTGGATTCAACAAAAGCCGTATGGGTCTATTCCTTCGTTTTGTTGTGTCCACTAGTTTTTCGTTGTATCGTTCTCAAGAAAAAACAAGTATCAAAAAATTCGTGCACAAATAATTTTTGGCTTAATTGCATTTAACTACGCTATAGTTTCCACTACTTTTCCATTTGTTGATGCAAGAGAAAACTTACAAGATCAACTCCATAGAATTCGACTCAGATATAGAGGCCTCATGATCTTCCTTGATGCCTGATGATGATAATTGGTGATGAAAGTTTCAGATGCATAGAAAAGACATTAAATTAACGATGGTGTGATATCCATCAACACCTCTCCGATACCTAAGTAAGACACTTAACAAGAAAATGGCGGAGCTAGGACCTGTGGGGTAGTGGGGGCAATAAATTATAGAAAAATAAAATTTAAATTCACTAAAGTAAATTTATTAATATATTAATCCAACATTAACAAAATGACATTTCCCAATTCTCCTCCACAAGTTTTGATCTTATGTGTTTTGATATTGGAATCTTTTGCAAAATATTTAGAACATATAAAGTCTAAGACATTTTATTTTATTCTCACCAAGAATGCCCTGGTACATTTCCTTTCTCAACTTTTCTCAAGGCCAATGACCCACGATGGTTGGAAAATGAGAGGGATTTGATTAGAGATAATTTGGATAAGAGTAGGTTTAATTAATGGATATTGGGGTCTAACTAAAACGGGTCTTATCGAAGTCCATTGCAATTAAATAAAAATAAAATTATAATGAACAATATGAATCCCCATTTAAATACATGTCATTGATAATAAAAAGTATAATTTATTAAACTTACAAATCGACTATAACGAAGTTAAATTGTAAATCAGCTATAATAGTCATGTGCTAAAACATCAAGAGGGGGCAATTTTTGAGCTAGGTTTCAATGATAAATGTAAATACATATAAGGGATATATTAGAAAAAGGAAATTTGAGTGGGGGCATTTGCCTACATTGACGTACATGTGGCTCCGCCACTGACTCTTAATGATAA